AACTCAACCCTACTAACCAAGCTCTACCGCTTGGCAATATTGGTTTGTTTGAAAAGGTGTTTTCACCAGAGGAGATAGAGATCTTCATGATGCATTATGAAAATAAGTATGATTAAGGCTTAAGTGGCATAAGTGCTTTCCTGGAAGTTGGAACAAAGTCTTTTTCCATTGCTGCCATTAGCAAACTCGCATTAAATGCATTTGTTATGATATGCAATGAATGTACATGTATTTATTTTATAATGAATATAGCATGTATATCCTTGATTAGTGACTTTTACATGTATGTGTGGAACCACATGGTAATATTATGACTGTCTTATGCTGTCATAGTAATATTATGCCACAAGGAATCACACTCCTTTAACGGATGAGCATGTAATTAGCTATAGAAGAGTTTATTAGTGGAAAAGATTTTTTAAACTTATATTACCCATGGGCTTTTTAAAGACATTTTGTTAGACTTGTACATCATGTATACTGAAAGTATCTCATTTTGCTTTTATTTTTATTAGAGCAACAAGTAGTGTCTGATAGTGTTTGTAGTGAATCAGGTGAGCATGGATCCACTGACGTCTTTAAAAGCAAGAAGAGAAAATAGAAAAGTAATGAGAATTTAAATTTTATTACAATGGCCTTGCTGATTGGCCTCTATACATTGTACATGTATTTCCTCTTTCTCTCTTTCCAGGATTGTGAATGATTCTGCCTTCCCTTCGAAGGCCACACCTCAGCAGTACCAACAGCACGATAACCTCTCCAGTACTTCAGCAAATGGAGGGACTGAAACTAACACAGGACCAGTTGAAGTAGAGGTAGAACATGCCAGCACATGCAATCAAGATGAGATAAGGACATGTAGCTATACCAGTGGACATTCTTGATGCTGATAATCCTATTCCTGGACTAGTATTACTACCTCCTAATACAGAGACACAGCCCCCAGTCGACTCATCACATCATTTTGTACATATACTTCATCGCCCTTCTAATGATGATGTCATGGACTCTCAAGTTAACAAGACAAGTATCCTGAATTTAAATGTATGTGCTGGGACAAGTGGAACAGGAGGACATGAAATAATGGCGAGAGACTTAATGGAAGTAGAGGAGGAGACGAATGAAATGGAGGACATTGATCAAGTGAAGACTAATTTAGAGGAAACTAATATTAGGAAAATTACAGAGGACGAAAGTAGTATTGTAATGGATGGAGCTGAATTTAAAAGTGACTCAAATGATTTTAGTCTGTTGGACCATGATATTGATTGGGATGAGATGCTTAAATGCATCAGTGAAATTTATGATGATGATGAAGACATGACTCATGATATTTATTTGACTTTGCCACCAAGATATAAAGTAATGGCTGTTAATAGGAAGAAATACAGAG